ATACCAGACTACCCACAATCTAGTAATCTCCCGACAATTCACGAAGGTTCGAGAAAGAAGTGGCGTGATACTAGTCACGTGACCTCGCTGACGCAACAGTACTTTGTTTCTATGTGGTTTTCTGCAACTGTTTCAATGAGTTTTCTAACAGTGGACGATTACCATAGTAGATTTCTCTATTCTTATGTGTGGTGATTCATTCTACTTATTTTCGTACTTCGCTGAAATTGTGAGTGTGTATTTTAGTAGTATTATTCATATGTTTTAGCCCCCCAGTGGCACAGCGGTATGTCTGCGTACTTACAATGCTAGAAACCGGGTTTTGATACCCGTGGTGGGCAGAGCATAGAATGCATAATTCCAAACAAACATATGTTTTGTTTCACAGTGTTACAGCAAAATCAGTTTGGTATTTTGCACCAAATCCTAGACAGATATATTATATGAAATGCTGAAAATGTCCATGACCTGTTTAAAAAGTTGATTATTTTACATTGAAAGTTGAGTTACATGGCTATATATATATAATATATGCAAAGTTGTGGGGAGTGGCTTCCTTTATACTCACTGCTTGTTAAATGTGTGTTTACATGAAACTTCAGGGACAAAACTACCTGGCTCGGTAAATAATGGTTGGGTGGAAAAAAAGCCAATGCAGTAGTAAACTGTTGAAACACATAACATTTAACTGAATGCATATGTATGTATGTAGCTTAAAATTTATTCTTCATAAATGGACATAAAAAAACTTAAGAAACAAGATAATTATAAGTTGTTAATTTCAAAAATGGGATAGGAATCATCAAAAAAGAACAGAAACAAGTTAAATTACAATGCGAAGATTATATTTTCAAGCCTACAACAAAGGACTCTAAAAAAAAGTAAACAAACTAGGATGGTGATGTGTCTCAAGCTACAAATTCCTATTTTTACTCCAAATGTACAGTACTTATAAGTTTTAGTGTAGAAACCATTTAAGCACCTTTATGCTAAAACCTTTAGATAGTAATACATTCTTTGAGTAATTCAGTTCAGTTTGTAGATCCTCTTTGTGAGTGCGAAAATGTATAGCTGAGTGTACTAAGGTAGAGTAGATGGAAATTTCTGTAGCATGTGATGGTTTGATCTTATGATAACTTTATCATTTGCTTCTTTTTTTCGACAATTAGAAAGCTATGGGAGACAACTTTTAGGTGCTACTTTATAAATGAAAATTATGATATTAAGTTGCACGTTATTTAAGAATGCAAGCAAATATGATAGGCTACCCCTACCGTGTCACCACACACTAAAGATATCATCAACAAATAATAACCAGTGTTTCAGTTTTTGATATGTAAAAATTTACTTCTGATATGATGCAGTACCTCTTCTCACATAATATAGAGGCACAATTTTCTCTCACCACTAGCCTTGAAACTCTCACCTAAAATCACAAGTTTCCACATGATATTGCTTTGATGTTGCATGTAAATGAGATGCATCAAATCCTCCTAGCACAGCTGGATCTCTTTCTACTGATTGTTTAATCATCTCTTCTTGATTTGGCTCTCATGTCTACAGATATATCTATTTTTCCCTCGTAAGTTGTTCAAATATAGGCTTTTTTGTGTGTGGAAGTATCTACACATTCATTACCTGTTGTGGAAATATTAAGTGTTGGATTTTCGTTATCCAACATTTTCTGCACTTACAGATTTCGTATTCTTTTTATTCCACATTATTAATTCACATATGTCAGTAACTTCTACTTTGTCAAGGGTGGAACAAGACAATGTTGTTCACATTTGTCTAAGAACTAAACTAACTGGCATTGGGTTTGTCTTTGTCTGTTGGGAAAGTGATGGCTTTTTTGTGATGGGAAATTAAGGCTTTCATTTGGCCTGGACCTTCTTCTGCACCTGTAACTCCTCCTCATATGTTTCTTGTTCTTGACAATATGGATTTTGCCGATTTTGTTTCTCACCAACTACCTTTATCTAATTTTCTATCCTTACTGTTTTATATCCACCTAAGTCTTTTTCTTTACTTTGGAACAGGGTTTTTAAAGTATGTTAGTTTTTTTGTCTCCTTCCTATCATTTGTTTCCTGCTTCTGCATTTTATGTTTTTTCTTACCCTTCAGATATTCATGTCCATATTGGATTCATTTTACCCCAACTTTGGTGCATGCATGCCTTGTCCTTCTCACTTTGTTACCTCACATGTCTGGGCATAACATCTTGATGTATTATCTTTCTTATGCTTTCAAACTCTGAGGTTTTTTCTTCAG